TCTCTAGTTGTTCGGGCGACAGCATATCAACCGTAAATCGAGAAAAAACACAAAAATTCTAAATCAAGTGAAATAACTCGATGAAATAATTAGATTTAGAATAGTGAAATAACTATTTGATCCTCTGCAACCGAGCCCGAATTCTGGCTCCCACAGATGTTTGTGTCCCAATCAGTCCACAGATACTCCTGATCTCAGCGTATGTGTATAAATCACACCTGTTCACAGCATCAATATCTTCCAACCTCTCCCACATCATGAGGAAGGACAAATAGCTGTCAAAGGACTTCAGGGACAAGACTGGGATAGACTAGAAGACCATCATCACGAAGCTTGGTGACTGTTGGTGTGATTCTTTGGAAATGAAAGAAGTATGAAATGGCTATCAGCCACCCTCAGTCTGGGGGTCCAATGCAAGGCCTTGCCTCGTGAGGATGTTTATAGGAAATGTGGTGGGTCAGCCCAAACTACAAGCTTAATGATCTGAAGGCAGTTGAGACCACAACCACCAAGAACACCACTGGTAACATGTTACGCTGTAATGGATTGAAATTTTGCAATCCCTGTTTAAGAGGGCGTATGTACAGGACCAACTCAAGTTTGTCAGTGAACATCTAAACAGTTTAGAGAAGGCTTGGGAGAAAGTGCTGTGGGGGAGAAATGTGGAGTCTGACGCAAAGATCACCAACAACCTCCTACCTCAGCCAATAATATGTGTCACGGATGAGTCTTCCAGCGTGGATCAGCAGCTGTGAGCAAATCTGATTTTATAAACTGGAATTCTTGACTTCTCTGCTTAAAACTCCACTGCTCAAAAAAAAAAAATTAAAAGGGAACATTCGATTATCACAGTATAACAAGTAGTCAGTTAAACTTCAGGGATTTTAATCAGTCCAGTCTGGGAGCAGAAGTCTACTTTATCTGCTTTGATACAAATGAAATTGACAGCAGGTGAAAACCCTCAAAAGAAAATAGTTTTTACAGGTGGTTCCACAGATCACTGCTTTCTCTGGATCCTTCCTGACTGATTTTTCTCCAGTCTTTTTTGTTAGTGTCCTTGTTATGAGTACCTGCTGCACATTCAGGGTGCACGGGTAGTCCAGATCCATCAGGATCACACATCCATATGTTATGCCTCCCAGCACAGTGTGGAGGAGATACTAGAAGATGAGCGCTTACACAAGGAGAACTGGACAGAGCCGGAGAAAGTCTCATAAACTCTATACCATGAGCTCCAGCTGTTTAGTCGTGCATATATCTGAGCACGCTGTCACAAACACACTCAGTCAGTGGGCCTCACATGTTTTAGTCGGACCTCTCCTCAAAGCTCAGCTGGCATTCGCTCGAAGACACCAGAACTGGACCCGTCCCCTTCACAGAGGAGAGCAGGCTCACACTGAGCACATGAAAAGTTTCACCCCCTGAAACATTATCCAGGATGTCTGCACTGGGGAGGGGGAGGGATTTCCTGGGAGGGTCACACAGATTGCTGTGACTGTTCATAGGCGCTGGGATGATGTCCTCAGACCCAGCGTCAGACCTTCTGTTGGTGAAAGACACTGTCCAGCCCATGTTGCCATGTTGAGTTTATGAATGTTATGAATCAGTGACTGACGTCACCAAATAAGAGTCACTGGTGCTGTGATCCAGGTCTGGGGGGGAGGGGGGAGGGGGGGTCCCCCGGGACACCATCTGCTGTCTCATCAGAATCCTTATTGGGTTTGCAATGCAGCCACATACACAACTGAGCCACAGTATAATGCAAGCTGGATAAGCCTGTAATTTCAGTTAGTAATTCTGATTTTTGTAGATTATGAATCCAGCCCTCAAAGGGTTGATGATTTTGTTTATTGAGATCTGATGTTTGTATTAAATCAAGTCTTAATTTCTTTGAGCACAGTAATCTAATGCATCTTACGGTAAACACCTTGTGAGGTGAGGCTTTTAAAAAAAAAAAAACTGTGTAGTTTATGTATTAACACCTTGCACACTCAGACATGTGCAGGTAATGTCTGCTAAGGATTTGTAACACGGCTGGTTTCAGGATCCATGGACTGACGTCAGCAGATTTCAGGTTTTTATGGTGATGCAAACAGATAAGTCAGTGTCCTTCTTAACTAAATTGTAACCCAACATGAAGATTGCACTTTAATCTGCTGTCAGAGTGGACATCAAGCAGCATCAGATGTGGATCGTCTGTGTATTTAAATTATTTATTTGCAGAGAGTCAAAGCACACTCACGCTGTCCAGTCCAGTGTTTGTGCACTCTGAGGCTGCTAAGCGTCCAGTGTTGCTCCTTTTCCTCTGTTGTTTATGAGGCAAGCTGTGCTCCTCGTTGCTTATGCACATGTACTTGAGTTTTGAACTTTTGCAGCGTAGCCCAGCTCAGTGGAAAAACACCCACACACCACAATCTGCCTTCGGGTTATGGTCCGTGCCAGGCCTTAATCACATACTGTTCGACTGCCGGCTGAGTCTGTTTCCCTGCATTAGATAAACCACCTGCCTTTCAAGGCAAATTCAATAAATGACAAGAGCATGCACTTCTGTCCCCCGCTGAGCTGAGCTGCACCGACGAGCAGCGACTACACGCTCATCTCCAACGTCCCTGTTCAAATGCACGGAGCTGAATGAGGAAAACAGTTTGTTAAAGGTGTGCACGCATTTCTTACCTCCCATTAGATTAACCAGTAATGAGGATAATGGTTGCTTCAAGACCTCATTGGCCCAGTCTCAGTTCGAGTATGCACCAGCCTCCACACGACCTTAGCTGGATGAACAATTGAGGGTTGGAAGGAAGCAAAGAAGGAAAAAGCTGAAACTGAAAAGCATTCTCACAGTATGGATCCGGCTTCATTTGATGTCACTAATCTGGATTTCAGCAGGTGAACTCTGAGCTTTTCCAAACTGTATCACAAACTAAATCTGTCACTTGTTAAAATTTTGATGAACTGGTCCAGACGGTCGTTTGAACACTAGCGTGTCAGGACAGTCAACATGAGACAAACTGTCCCCATACAAACTCTTCTCATACCATCTTTATAGAGCCTTTCTTTGATCAAGTTATACATTTCCTTACGAGATATGGTTTATGACTTATTTTCATATTTGTTTACATTTGTAAAGATGAGGACAGAATTATTAAGACTGCAGACCAAGGTCCAAAGATAACCCTCAATTTTATCTTATTTTACAAGCTGTGAGGATTACATAAGATAAAGCACATCATTGCACAGTGGTGGTTTGTGCCATGGCTCAATAAAACGAAATAAAGCTCTTATTGTGTGCAAACAGGAATAATATATAATACATGCTTTCTAAAGAAAACAAGTATGATTAGAAATGCTTTTGGACATATTTGTTTGCTGTCTTTATATTATTTAAACTATCTGCATTGAAATGTGATTGTGGCATTAGTACTGTATACAGAGACTAGTGTAGGTTAACGAGGTCAGGTTAGATTTGGAGTGTCAGGCTGGAAGCTGCCAGCAGCACCAACAGACTTGTGTCTCTTCACATATTTATGCAGCAGCTATATGGACCAAAATAGCCGACAGCAAGAGAGGCCTGAGTTTCCAAGCAACCCAGCTGAGAGCAGGAAGATAAGGAAGTGATGTGCTGCAGGGTACACTCAGTCTGTTGTTTGCATACATCTCCTCTTCACCCCCCTCTCCATCGTCCTCTTTCTGTGTGGGGTCCTGAGTGAACCGGATCCGGTGAGAAATGTCTATGAGCTTTTATTGTGCTTGATGTGTGACACCGGAATACAGTTATGAAATTATGTGCCAGCTGAGGATGCATAATAATAGGACCGTTACTGGGATTATATTAGGGGCACCTGGGTCATTCTCCTTTCCTGTGCTGTGAATACTTTATCACATCTAGACCAAAAGAAGAAGAAAAAAAAGCCAAACTGTGGCCTTGCTTGAACAGACAAACAAGCATATTTAATGTATCCATGTCCCATCAGTTGTTGTTAAAACTAATGTGGTTAAGCAAAGGATTGGCCATTTGGGGCTCTTAACATCATGTTGTGCCTGGAGAGCTCGTTGCGTCAGGTGCTTTGGCTAATAATTGATAGATTTGGAGAGGCGGCGTGTGGTGGGTTCACAGCTGGCTGACTGCGCTCCACAGTCCCGTGTTTAGTGACTGAAAAGCTCCAAGCATGATTAAATAAGAGCCCCTTTAAGGGACAAAACTGGACATCCAAAGCCAGTATTGACGGCCACCATGAAGGCTTTGCTCACCTTCGTGACATTTCTTGGCTTCTTCACCCCCGTGACTGCAAAGCCTAACGCCGGCTTGAAAACCTGGGGTCGCTTCAATAAGCTGCCCTATCCGGCAGACAAGGCTTTCCTCTATGACACCTTCCCCAAGGACTTCATATGGGCGGTGGGCACGGCCGCGTACCAGGTGGAGGGCGCGTTCGAAAAGGACGGGAAGGGGCTCTCCATTTGGGACACTTTTACGCGCGGCGGCACCCGAATGATCACCGGAGACGTGGGCAGCGACAGCTACCACAACATCAACGCTGACATCCGAGCCATTAAACAGCTCGGGGTCAGCCACTACAGATTTTCCCTGTCCTGGTCCAGGATTTTTCCCAACGGTACCCGTGGCAGTTACAACGAAATCGGCACCAACTACTACCGGACGCTCATTAAGAAGCTGAAGGAGATCCGCGTGGAGCCGGTGGTCACGCTCTACCACTGGGACCTGCCAGACCACCTGCAGCAGACCCTCGGCGGATGGAGCAACCCGGAGCTCGTGGGAATTTTCAAAGACTACGCCGATTTCTGTTTCCAGGCTTTCGGGGATGACGTAAAGTACTGGATCACCATCGATAACCCCTTTGTGGTGGCGAGACACGGATATGGCACCGGAGTGGTGGCTCCCGGGATAAAGAACGATCCTGATCTTCCATTCCGGGTTGGACACAACCTGCTCAAGGTGATTCTATGTTGTTCCTGTGTGTATGTGTGTTTTTTAAAATATCTCAAATATGTGCTTACATTATTAAAACAACTTTAGTGAAGAGGATTTGAAGGGGTTATTTCTAAAATACAGAAATTACCTGTTTTGTAAGTATCCTTTTGACTCTTTAGCCAATCCAATACTTAAAGTATCTTTATGGAACTTTGATGTTATATTTGTTACATTTTCTGCTCTCTGGGCCAGCTCTCCCATAAAAAGGACATTTTTATGTCAATGAAACATTTTAGGATGATATAAAGTGATATAACAGTCACTTTACCAAAAACTGACTGGCGCTTATGCCTTGTGACGGGGATGTTCTTTCTCAAATTCACTTGATATCATTCAGGGGAGATATTTTTGACAGAGTACAGGCCAACAAATCTAAAAATTTATAACACTTAAACTAAGATTTCCTGTAGTATTTATTGTAAATGACTTGTTTCCACCCAACCTGTCAGTTTGGGGCATAAAGAACACTTCTGTTAATGGGAAATGCATTTTAAAGCAAAAGAAAAAAAAAGGAAAAAAAAGCTAGATGTAGCAAATTTGATACAAATTAAAACTCATGTATGCCATTATTTCCCAGTTTAGTCTTTAAAGGGTTATAAAAGTCTTTTTAAAGCAAGATCTAGCCAAGAAATTGCAACAACAATATAACATCACAGTACTATAAAGAAATTTAAATGGTCAAAAAGGACTTGATTTATTATATTGCAGGTACAATTACACAGAGTCGTAAAGATACTTGCAAAACATGTCATTATTTTATATATAACGTCTTTGTAAATCCTGCTGACTACACGTTAGTTCACAAACAAGCAAAGCTATCGCAGGCAATAACCTCACAGAAACAAACATCTTATTATGTTGATTGTTTTCTTAATTTTTCTCAGCACCATGAGTAACTCCTCATCATTTTCTGCCTGAGGATCTTTACCGACCTGCTGACAGTGAAGCTTGTGGCTTTGGCTCGCCGTGCTTATTTGGATTTGGACTTTCTTAAAAATTATGTATATCTTTTTTTTTTATGGTCTTTTTTTACTGGAGTGTAGAACGTTTCAATATGCTTGAAATGTATGATTTACACGAAGACGAAGCTGGTGGAGCAATGACAAGTTTTTTTCTTTTAAACTGTTAATCTATAAACTCTATCATCGTGGATAACCTGATTGTGTAGGAACGAATATTTGATCGAGCTGCTCTCATGAGTAATAATGTATTTGTTTCTGGGCTGCTGTGAAAATAATAAATCTCAAGGCCTTATAATATTTAATATTATTAATGTTATATTTGTTTTGTGTCATCCTTCCCAGCATTTATGCCTACATCCCATCCACCCATCTCCCCTCTTTTTCTGTCCTTCTCCCTCCTCCAGGCTCACGCAGCTGCTTGGCGTCTCTACGACCGCCACTACCGTCCACGACACCATGGGAAACTGTCCATGGCGCTGGCCTCTCACTGGATCAAGCCCAGCCGCACTCGCCTGGAAAGCCTGAGAGAATGTCAGTGCTCCCTGGACCACGTCCTGGGTTGGTTCGCCCGGCCACTGTTCATAGATGGGGACTACCCCCCCTGCATGAAGTCAAGGCTGGGCTCACGTCTGCCCTCCTTCACGCCGGAAGAAAGTGAACAGGTGAAAGGAACAGCTGACTTTTTTGCCCTCTCTCACGGTGCGGCGCTGAGCTTCCATCTGATCAACGACAGCCTCAAGTTTGGGCAGCAGGAGGATCTGGACCTGAGGATGCTGCTCTACTGGGTCAACACGGAGTATGACAACCCCCCCATCTTTGTGGTGCAGAGTGGTTGGTAGGTGTAGACGCTCTGCTGATTGCACAGCACCTCTTTGATGCCACCTCATGTCTCTGTTGAACGTCTTGGTTTCCATGCAGGTACGTCCTCGGCAACACCAAGACAAAAGACCCAAAACACATGTACTACCTCAAGAGGTTCATCGCCGAGGCGCTAAAATGTAAGTCCAGTGTCGTGCATTGACATTCTCATATCATAACATTTCTCATATCAGCATAAGTGGCCATAAAAACAATTGCGATAACTTGACACTGAAGCTAAATATGGGTCATCTGCGCTGTTGTGTTTGTAATCCAGCAATCGTCATAGATGGAGTGAACGTGATTGGATACACTGCCTGGTCTCTGATGGACGGCTTTGAGTGGCACAGGGAATACGGGATACGACGGGGGCTTTACTATGTGGACTTCAACACTCCTGACATGAAGAGGGAGCCAAAGACATCTGCCACCTTTTACAGGCATGTGTTCAGTTCTTATCATTTTAGGGTGCGCAATTTGTGCAGGTATCTGCTGAATTCCTCCAACAGCAGAATAAGTTATTATGCTAATAAAATGCTGTACAGCAGCACAGCAGAGCGATAAAGCTGATGAGCCACACCAACAACTCTTTTCCACTACCTTCATGTAGTGGGAAAGAGTTGTTGAAGCTGGATTAAGAAGAGATTTAATGATCAGTAAACACCAGTACCAAGAAATGGGATGTTTAATTTGAGATCATTGATGGAGAAGATGTAGAGAAGGTTAGACAGCACAACATATCTACAGTAACTGTTTCATCTTGGTTCAGTTAAGGACTCTTCTCTTTTGATAAAAATCACAATTATGTCTTACAAACACAGTGAAGAGACACAATAAAGGAAGAGAGTTTGTGCCGCTGTCATCATTCCTACAGAAACGTCATCCAGAGCAACGGTTTCCCAGAACTTCCTGAGAACAGACCAGTACAAGGAGCCTTCCCCTGTGATTTCGCCTGGGGTGTGTCAGCCAACTCAATCCAGGTGCGTGTGGGTGTTTGTGCATGTAAACTGAGCCCGGGAGGAGATAGTGTGTAGGCACTGCAGGGGGTTTTGCAGATGGATGCGGAAGTCATGGCGGGCCAAAGGACAGAGGTCGGATAATGAATGAAAGGCGATTAGAATGCTTGTAACACACCCAAAAAAGATTCCAGGTCTGACCAACCGTCTCAGCCGTGGGCAAAAAGATGACAGTCAATAAAATTCTAAAAGATAATTTATTGACACAATAATCAAAAGATAAAATAGTCCAGTGTCCCATTTGCAAATCAAGTAAAAACACACAGTCCCAAGGCCAGAGCCAGCTATGCCACAATGCCAGTTGCACTCCACGTGTTGACTTCAACAGGG